GTTATGTGAAATTATATTTTAACCACTTTACCACCCTGGATATAAGGTAAAATGTCAAAATGGCACACTTCACATAATTAATCAAAGCTCCTAAAATATTCTAGGTATAGAGATACACTCTTTTTTGTTTTGCAGATGCAGGATTTGAGTACATAAATAAATATATAATCTGATTTGTTAATGTTTTTAAATATTATGGTAAAATGCAAAATGCCAATCGTTTTACCCCAATCTACGCGACAGCTGTTTTCACATTCGCAAAATAAAAAAATAACAAAGAAAATATATATACACTCATTAAACGACCTTCATACATGTATATTTATCTTTCCTAAAATGAAGGTTCAGCGCTCTCTACTGAACTCAGACAAAATGTTTGTATTAAAATTTATCGAATAAATGTATCATTTTGAAAATAAAAACAATATTATAGCTGATATATTTTTAGGCTAAAAACATTTATATTATTTTGCAATATTCCAACACGAAATTCATAAATTAAGATTCCTTTTTTTTTCTCCTTTTGAATTTCTAAGACTTAGATTCATCTATGCCTTAGAGAAACTCCTTCCAGTCGTCAAACTGCATTTCACACTTCCACTAGCTAATGTAATGATTCTTATTAGATTAAAAAAATTAACTCATGGGCTGTAGATGCCTACTCTTCCTATAAATTTCTTGGGAATTTATAAAATTCTCATTAGTATTTTCTTTAAAAATTTAACTCACTTATTACTATAGAAAGATAGTGATTATATTAAAATAAAAGTCAATAAAAATAAAGTATTTATTATGGCCCTCCTGAGAGGTTAAGCAAGTTCTGATTACTAATTACTTAAATATCAGATCATTTTATAAAGAATTTCTATTTTAGAAATCGCTCAATCGTATAAATATCAAAAAAATATAGTTATTATAAAATACGCAACAATCACACTATAGTTATAGTAATTCTAAATATCATCATTAAATTATTTTAGCTGAAAAAAATATATTACGAAATATAATTATGTCTAATTATAATTTTAAGGAATTTTCTACATCAATGCGAAAACATTACTCAAGAATTATTAATCCTCACACTTCTTCTAGTAAACACCATAATATTTAATGATGGTGGCTATATAATTATTTTATAACAATTTTTAATATATTATATAAATAAAATGTATAAAATCAGTTTGTGGGATTAAAATAGTTAAAAATAAACTTTTATTGTATTATATAGGTAATATTTTGGTTTAGCACAACTTATTTGAGTTTAAAATCTACACCACTAGCTATTAACTTAAAATTACATAAGTTAATAAATTATATTTTAACTTCATCTACTGATAACTTTCTTGTATCTGAGTTTAGATTGAATTTGACCTTTATGTTCTTTTTCCTCTGGAGATAAAAAAAATCCTCAAAACTTGCCTAAATATCTTATTTAAATCTTTTCCAGTACCGATATACTATGGTACCGATATACAACATTTCAAAAATAAGCGTTTAGGAATAAAACTATTATAAAATTTTAACTATAACCAAAAGTAACTGAACATATAAAATTAATACCTAGACCTTTTAAAACAAAAGGCTGATATATTTTAAACTTTATTTTCTAAAATTAATGAATCGACGTTTAAAAACAAAAGACTAATCTATTGCAAACTTTATTTTACAAATAAATGTGACATTCTGAAAAAACAATCGCTGATATATTTTTAGGCTAGAAACCTTATATTATTTTGTGATATTACAACTTAAAATTTATAAATTAAGATTCTTTTTTTTCTTTTTTTGAATTTCTACGTCATTTATGCCTTAAAGAAACTCTTCCCAGTCGTCATTCTTGCATTTCACATTACGAATAGTTAATCTGATTCTCTTTAGATTAAATTGGATTGATATGAAAAACTTAGAGCTACAGAATATTTTAAAATAAACTCATGGGCTATAAGTGCCTACTCTTCCTATAATTTCTTGGGAATTCTACAAATACTCATTAGGACCTTCTATAAAAATTTAACTCACTGATTAAAATAAAAAGATTGTATTATGTTAAAATAAAAGCCAATAAAATAAGTAAAATATGTGGTCCTCCTAAAAGCCTAACCATGTTCTGATTAAATTTCTGATATGATAAAATCGACTTTTTTGATGAGGTTTCTCTTTCAGATTATTATTATAAAGAATTTCTTTTTTAGAAATGCTTATCATATATCAAAAAAAATATGGTTATTATGAAATACCTTACAATCATCCTATAATTGTAGTAATTCTAAATATCATCATTAAATTATTTTAGCTGAAAAAAATATATTACGAAATATAATTATGTCTAATTATAATTTTAAGGAATTTTCTACATCAATGCGAAAACATTACTCAAGAATTATTAATCCTCACACTTCTTCTAGTAAAACACTATAATATTTATTGATGGTTTTATTCCAGCTTCCGGTTTATCGATAACTGTCAGAATTTCGATTAGATTTGACGGTTATATTCATTTTCTTCTGAAGACCTTAAAACGTGCTTAAATAATCTTTAAATATTTCCTGTTACCAATTTATAGATAAGTGGTAAGGAATAAAACTACGAATGTAACTGAACCTCTAAAATAAATGCATCGACGTTGTAAAAAAATAGGCTAATATATTGTAAACGTTATTTTTATAAAAATTAAAAATTGCATTGAACATTATAGTAAAAGCAGATTTAATAGAGGTTGAAAACCAGGAGAAGTTGTGAGTAAATAATAATTTATTAATTTTGATATTAGCTTTTCATTATTATATATATCATCCCCAACTCACCAAAATAATTGTAAAAAGTAATAGTTTAGCAAACTAGTTCTACCCTAAACAACAAGCGAACATATTAACTTAAAATTGTAAATAATTCTGCATTTATTAAAATGTTTTATTATATATCGAGTCTCAAATTATTACAAGTTGTTACAAACATCACAAAAAAATATATTAAAGATCTCACTGACCTTTCTGACGAACCCGGCAAAAGGGTAGAAAGATCCTCTAAGGATGATTTGACTCTTAATGACGAAAGGATAAGCGATATAGCAACCAATTCGAATATAACTCCAAATATAATAATTGAGATTCCGAAAGTGGCTGAGAGTAAAATACAATTAATTTTGTAATTTTTAATTAATAAGTATTGTATATTAATGTTGACATTTGCAATACTTTTTCCCATACCCCTTCCATCTTAAATGTAATGCTAGGCACCGTAAATATGCCATAAATTATTGGCAAACATTATAAACTTGTATTAATTAAATAAATATTTTTTTAACGTCTCAAATAAAAATCAGAAGCCATAATAATAGGAAAAGCGATCGATGAAATGAATGAAAGTAAAGTAAGTCTTCTCCAAAGAATTTTGGGGCTTCCCCGGAGGAAAAGGCGTTTTACAACCTCCAAATCCACTCCAACCGTGACTAATCAAGCTCATTTTGAAAGGAATATACCGGAAGATGGAAGTAAAATACAATTTATTAATTTTGTAATTTGTTGATTAATAATTATGGGTTTTTTTTAACAACCTATATCTTCATTTATGCATTTCCCCTATGTCCATTCCCAAAAAATAGTGGTAAAAGTAATAGATTAGCACTCTGACCGCCCTAAACAATAAGCGAACATATTAACTTAAAATTACAAAAACAATCTTAAAATTTTTTTTATCGAGTTTTAAATTATAACATTTTATTATAAACATCACAAAAAAAACAAATTGAAGAACTCACTAACCCTTCTGACGAAACTGGCACAAGGGTAAAAAGATCCTATAAGGATGATTTGATTCTTGATGAAAGCATAAGCGATATATCAACCAATTCTAATGTATTAATTGAAATTCCGATAGTGGATGAAAGTAAAATAAAATTAATTTTGTAATTTCATATTTATAAGTTACGTATATTAATGTAGATATTTATAATACCTTTTCCAATACCATTTACATCTACCAAGCACTCTTAAATTTAGTGTTAGGCACCTTAAATATACCATAAATCATGAGCAAACATTATAAACTTAGTATTAATTATTAATTTTTAAATTAAGCATTTTATTAAATATATTTTAACTTGTGTCAAATACAAAAGCCATGAAAGCTAGTAAAATGAGCCTATTTCAAAGAGCTTTAGGGATTGCCAAGAGAAAAAAGCATTCCAAATCGAATCCAAATATAATTAATCAGCCTATACCGGAGGATAGAAGTAAAATCTTATTTATTAATTTTGTAATTGTTAGTTAATAACCATCGGATTTTATAACAATGCATATCTTGGTTTATGCATTTTTCCTATGCCCCCTCCACTCCCCAAAATAGGTAAAAATAAGATTAACACTCTGCCACTGCCCTAAACAATAAGCGAGCATATTAACTTAAAATTACATATTTTAAAATTCTGTATTTTTTTTATCGCACTCAAATTATTAAAGTTGTTACAAACATCATAAAAAAACAAATTAAAGAACTCACTGACCCTTCTGACGAAACTGGCAAAAGGGTAAAACGATCCTTTAGGGATTATTTAATTGCAACTAATTCGACAACTTTAAATACAAAGATTGAAAAGCCAAGAAAGGATGAAAGTAAAATATAATTAATTTTTAATTATTAATGTAGATATTATAATACTATTCCCAATACCCCTTACATCTACTAAGCACGCTTAAATGTAAGGTTGAGCACCTTAAATATGCCTTAAATCATGAGCACATTGTAAACTTAGTATTAAAAAATTTTTATTATATATTTTTTAACGTGTCTAAATCGATAAAGTGATGATAAAAGATAGTAGGATAAGCCTATTACAGAGGGTATTGCGAATTTCCCAAAGTACAAAGCGTTTTATAACTTCCAAATCAAATCAAAAAGTAATTGATCTACCTAAATTTGAAAGGGATATACCGAAAGATAGAAGTAAAATCCAATTTATTAATTCTGTTATTGTTAGTTAATAATTATCGGCTATTTAAACAATGTTTATATTTATTAATCATTTTGCCACCACCATTGCCCAAAATAGTGGTAAAAGTAATAGTTTAGCATTCTCGGCCTACTCTAAACATTAAGTGAACATATTAACTTCAAATTGCTAAAACCATTTTAAAATTCTGTATTTATTAAAATGTTTATTTTTATCGCTTCTCAAATTATTACACGTTGTTACAAATATTGAAAAAAAACAACAAATTAAAGAGACTAACCTTTCTAGTGAACCTACCACAAGTCTGAAAAGACCCTTTAGCGATGAATTATATGTTTATCAAAGTAAGGACGAACCAACTACATCGAATACCCCATATGAGGATGCAAGTAAAATACAATTTATTTTCTCATTTTTTCTTAATAAATAGTGGATTTTATAAAATTTATATCTTTATTTATTTTTATTTATCTTTTTTTCCCACTTTTTTTAATACATGAACGGACTGATAAATATAATGGTTTATCACCCTGTATTTGCTTCATACAATAAGCAAACATCATGTATTTAGAAATGTAATAAAAGATTTTTAAATTTTTTATTCCTATATTTTTTTTTATCGTATCTCAAATATAAATTAAATCATATAGTAATTACGACCCAGAATCAATGCGAATGGTTTGATATACCACTTGATGACGAAAGTTAAATTCAATTTATTAATTTTATAATATTTTGTTAATAATTAGTGGTTTTTTATAAAATAAATATCTTCATACATTCTTCTTTTTTATTACCGTGATCCCTATATCCACTAAAAAACTGGTAAAGAAATAATAAGCAAACTCTCTACACTTAGTATTTCATAAATAATTTCAAATTTTTTTATTTTATATAAATGTCTCAAATAAAAATTAGGCGATTTAAATAATGAAAGAAAATAACATATGATCATGCAATTTACTCTTCAAAGTTTTATCTCTCCTATTGAATAATCTTCCATGTCTCCTTGTAATCTTTCTTTCCTTCTCTTTCCTAGTTTCTATTCACTAATTTTCTTTTTGCACGTCCTCTTTTAAAATCCCTTATCCTTTTTCTTAAATTCTATTCTTATATTTTTCAATAATAATACGTCAATACCTTTTGACACAGCTATTATTCAAATAATGAAATAATTTCTCTAAGATAAAAATTTTTGTAAACTTGAAACATTATCAAACAAAATAAATGAGTAATAACGCTGGTAGTATGGAACTGGTTTTCTATATTTTTTTAAAATTAGAGAATACAATGACAACAGACAGATCCCTTTTCAAACAAATTTATTAATAAATTTTTAAAACGTTATTTATTCACTCGAACATAAAAATATTGAACACAGTTATTACAATTTCAAAAATGTTAGAAAAATATTTGCCAATTATCGTTAAATTTTTCATTCAAGATTTATTTGAGAGTTTAAATTTTGATAACTTAATCTTATATTTGTAAACAGATGAGAAGAAATCACACCCCGCAAAGAAAGTAGCAAGAAGATGGTCATTTCGCCAAGTGAAGCTACCCGACAGGAATCAAATCGGACGGATATGGAACAGGGTGGTTAGGTTATATAGGAATCCAAATAAGAACCCAAAGATGTCGAAGCCCATCCTAGCTTTTTCTAATGCGAGAGAGAGGAAAATGGCTATTAGTAATTAGAATATTAATCTCATTTATGAATTTAGATGTAAAAATTTTTTAATTTTAAAAAGCTAAATTAAGAGTGTAATTAAGTTAATAAAAAGTTATTTAATTTTTTGTCTCTCTAACGAAAGATGAGTCCCCATTAAAAATGTATTCAGATCAAATTTAAATATGAGTTAGACCTGAATCATATAATTAACGAATAATTCATAGGGTTAATAAGATTATCTAAGGCTCTCAAAAAGATACCCAATAAGGGTCAGAATTAAAACTACTAGGCTGGATTTAGTTCTTTTCAAATGTTTAAATTAACTTGAAACCTTAAAAAAATTAAATAATTTTAAAATGATTTATAGTTATATAGCTTTCAAAATTTAATAATAATTTATTTCTAAACAAAATAAAGTGGAAGCTAAGATCAAAGCTTTCGAATACGCAAGTTTTCAAAGCTGTTTCAAAGACCACTCGTTTACTGGCTTAGAAGACGAAGTTAAGATATTGAGGATTGGCAAATTGATTAAACCCATCGATCATTTAATGCGTTTTGAAAGGTCAAAAAGGCAATTACATATCTTGGATACCATACCAGAAGTGGATGAAAGGGAATATCTTCTAACTACTATATATTCTACAGGTATTTTATTTATAAAATAATGTATATGTAATCGGCTAATTCATATAGCCAAGTTATACATAAGTTAATTTAGAAAATAATTTCTCGAAAGTGTTTAAAAAAATTCAAGATTCCAAAAGATCAGAAGGAATATAATGGTTTAATAAATAGAGTGGGGCGAATCAATTTGTTATAAATGGAAACTCAAATATTTTCTAAATATCCTTAGAAATGTTTTTAATTCAAATTTTTAAGACGGCTACTTTTAAAATTTGGTAGTTTTAATATAAAATCACCGTTTGCTTTGCTTCACTCGATCTTTCACTCTGCTTCTCAGAGAATACGACTCGTTTTACTGAGTGAACAGTAATTCAGATTAGTGTTGTGGGAACAATACTCATATAATATTTACGTAAGCCTCTAGATTTTGGATATAGATGAAGTAAATATATGAAACTAGCTATGCCGAATTGGTGACTATTTTCATCATAATAGGGCCATCTTTTAAAAAACAATCGTCCAAACGAATATTTTATATTTTTACAGGTAGTTTGTTTATAAATCCGGGGTATGGTAAAAAATTGGTTGTCTATTTAAAAATTATTAATACATCCTAAATATTTTACACTATTTATTTTTGTGTTAAATATAATAATCTTGCGCTGAGAAATATTGTAAAATATAGTATATGATTTTGTGATGTACATTTTCTGTTAGGTTGATAATAATTTCGTAAATGCAGAAAAGAGGGGGGGGGGTCTGTAAAAAAGGAAATAAATAATTTTGTATAAGCCAAAGGATATACTTTAAAATTTATTTAATCTGTGCCAACAAGTGATACGAAATGAGTGAAAGATCAAGCGAAGCAAACGCTGGTCTTATATTTTTAAAAGCTTGCAATAATTTTAAAAGAATAGCTCTAATCGTGACTTATAACATTTCTAAGGATAATTTTAAAAAAAATACATTATTGAAGTTCCCATTTATAAGATTCGCCGAACTCTATTAAACAATCCAATTCTCATAAACCAGAAAATAGTTGTAAAACTTTATAAAAATTTAAGAATTATTGAATATTTTAAATTTGAGTTTATAAAATATTAGCGATTCATAAGAATTATTTGTTTTTCTTATAATTAATTTACAATAAACCACGGCTAAATATTATTATTTTTAATACTGCATGAATTTATTTTTGTTTTTCAAAATCATTGATAGGTAAAACGTGGATCACGCGAGCCCTCAAAAACAAGCGGCAAATAAATCAAACCCCTTAATAAGAATATAATTTTCATTTTATTCTCTTTAAATATCTTTTATTATTAAAATTAAAATTGTAAAAATATGTGAACTAACGCTAATATATTTTATTTAAAAATTATTAACCTATAGATAAAACATGGATAAAGCCAGCCCTCAAAAGCAAGCGGCAAACATATCGCTATTGATAAGAATATAATTTTCATTTTATTACTTTTAATGGTTTTTATTATTAACAAGAAATCTGGAAAAAAATGTGAACTAATGCTTAATATATTTTATTTATGACAGAAATCATTTTCGTTATTCAAAATCAGCTATGTAAAGCAAGGATCATACTACCCCTCAAAAGCAAGCGGCAAACATCGCCCTTGATAAGAATATAATTTTCATTTTATTACTATTAATGGTTTTTATTATTAAAAAGAAAACTGGGAAAAAATGTGAACTAATGATAAATATATTTTATTTATAACAGAAATCATTTTCGTTATTCAAAATCAGCTATGTAAAGCAAGGATCATACTACCCCTCAAAAGCAAGCGGCAAACATCGCCCTTGATAAGAATATAATTTTCATTTTATTACTATTAATGGTTTTTATTATTAAAAAGAAAACTGGGAAAAAATGTGAACTAATGATAAATATATTTTATTTATAACAGAAATCATTTTCGTTATTCATAATCAGCTAGCAAGGATCATACTACCCCTCAAAAGCAAGCGGCAAACATCGCCCTTGATAAGAATATAATTTTCATTTTATTCCTTTTAATGGTTTTTATTATTAACAAGAAATCTGGAAAAAAAATGTGAACTAATGCTTAATAAATTTTATTTATGACAGAAATCATTTTCGTTATTCGAAATCAGCTATGTAAAGCAAGGATCATATTACCACTCAAAAGCAAGCGGCAAACATCGCCCTTGATAAGAATATAATTTTCATTTTATTCCTTTTAATGGTTTTTATTATTAACAAGAAATCTGGAAAAAAAATGTGAACTAATGCTTAATAAATTTTATTTATGACAGAAATCATTTTCGTTATTCGAAATCAGCTATGTAAAGCAAGGATCATACTACCACTCAAAAGCAAGCGGCAAACATCGCCCTTGATAAGAATATAATTTTCATTTTATTCCTTTTAATGGTTTTTATTATTAACAAGAAATCTGGAAAAAAAATGTGAACTAATGCTTAATAAATTTTATTTATGACAGAAATCATTTTCGTTATTCGAAATCAGCTATGTAAAG